TGTTGCCATAGAAGTTGTAATTAGGTTTGACAGACACCAATTATAGGCTATTAATAAGAGGAGAAGGAGTGTATCTAAAAGTCGAGGGTCGAGAGTCGAGAGTATAGGTCGAGAGTCGAGAGTAAAAGTCGAGAGTCGAGAGTAAAAGTCGAGAGTCGAGAGTAAAAAGTCGAGAGTCGAGAGTAAAAAGTCGAGAGTCGATCGAGAGTAAAAAGTCGAGAGTCGGCAAATGTCATCAGAAACAACAAAGTCAAAATATTTTTATTTTTTAACCACGTTTAACACAATCTATATATATATATAGCTTTACATAGCCATTCCGTAACAAGTACCAACGGCAGAAATACAAACTTTCCATTTTAGTGGCGGAAATTCACTTTTTCCGGGGGGGGCAAAGCCTCCTAAATTAGCCCTCTTTTAGATCAAAATTTCCGAAAATTCGTCAATTTTCCGGAAGGTGGGGGGGGGGGCGGGGGCGGTCGCCCTCCCGCCCCACCAAGATTTCCGCCACTGTCAATAATAATAACGTGATAACAAAAACAGAAAAGATTGGAAGTATTGGATAAGAAAATAATATCGCATTTGATGCCTCAAACTTGCTACATGTTTTCACATGTCATTTCATTCTAAGTGATGATAAACTTCACTGAATTTTGACAGCCATCTCCAGGCTTGTAACTAAAATGTCACTTATTCATTAACATACGTTTATATCAAACGAGAGCGTATTAAGAAATCCACGTTGATCACAATCTAACGATTCATACAATTGTGAATTCATAGATACGAGCCAGTGAAAATAGGATTCTTTTGTCGTATGTGCGACTCTATCGGGTGGTAATATGTCTCGCACGTGATTGTAAAGTCCTAGTATTTATATGTAGCTTCACATATGAGTAATTTTTCGCGGAAATAGGTGCATGCAAAAGTGGGAAGGATGGACAGTAATATATAAGGAAGCGATAAAACTAGTTATTAGATAATAGTTATTATTATTGAATGTTGTGGCTAAATTTTTGCGAAAGTTTTTGTTTTATATTATACTGGATTATTCCTTTGATTGTATATGCCTCTTGTTTACTTTAATTTCGAGAATTTGAGCATACTAATTATGTTTCGCAAATATTGTTTGCTTTATGTTCCGATACACAGGAAATGAAATTAGTTCAGCCGTCATAGGCGTACGGGCGGGAAGAAATTTACCCGATCGACTTTTACCCACTGAATAAAATTTTCCATGTAACTAAATTTCCAAAATTGTCGTTGGGAAGTAGATAAAAATATTTTCCTATTTGTCGATTCCGCTCGTTACTTTTACATATTTCTGGTATTTTCAAATACCATATTGCATGTACTGTCTTCTTCTAAAATTTATTTCCCCCCAATTTTTGCCCGAATTTATACGTTTATAATTTGCATGAGTTAATTTATTTTGACTGGGGGGCGGGACTGCCTCCCCCCCCCTCGCCCGTACGGCTATAATCAGCCGTTGTTACGGATCGGTTATATATTGTGTTAAAAGTATTTTGACTTTTTTGTTTCTGATGACATTTGCCGACTCTCGAGTTTTTACTCTCGATCGACTCTCGACTTTTTACTCTCGATCGACTCTCGACTTTTTACTCTCGACTCTCGACTTTTTACTCTCGACTCTCGACTTTTTACTCTCGACTCTCGACTTTTTACTCTCGACTCTCGACTTTTACTCTCGACTCTCGACTTTTACTCTCGACTCTCGACTTTTACTCTCGACTCTCGACTTTTACTCTCGACTCTCGACCTTTACTCTCGACTCTCGACCCTCGACTTTTAGATACACTCCGCGATAATCACCTAAGCGATTTTCAAAATGGCGGCCGAAGCCATTTTGTCAATTAAATGACAAAGAAATGTGTATTTTCTTATTTTTTTTTCCAAATAATCACCTATGAAATTATACCAAAACAATTATTCACCTCAGGCTCGGTGATCATCGTGAATAAAAACCTCGACTTCGTCTCGGTTTTTATTCACCGATAATCACCTCGCCTTCAGCGAATAATTGTTAAATATTCGTATGTTCTCTATGTCATAAATGTTCTTATGTTCCTGTACCAATTTGGTTCCAGTACCAAATAACACAAATCACACTCATATAACATAATTGTCATCATAATATAATAGTGTTTCTGTACATGGCTTGCAGGCATGTGATTTATAACAAAACTTAAAACAGTGTTTTGAAACCCTAGTTTTTCACAAAATGTGTTCTCAGAACGCTGCAAATGCCATTTCCGGGATTCAAATTTTAAAATTTTTCCGTGGCAAAGGCACGAGCCTCCCCCCACCCCCCCAATATTTCGTAAAGTGTCCGCCACAGGTCTTTTCATTAAAATTCTCAAAAGTTAAATGTCAGTATATGCTGTTTCTTCTGAAATCTACAGATTTTTTAAGCTCTTCATGCAGCAACAATCAAAAATACATCATGTTGAATGTTTTCTTTATGGCATTACGCTAACAATCAAATGCTTAGAAACAAGGTTATAAAAACTGCAAAAAGGAGGAAAAAAACACTTTTTGCAACTGTGTGATCAGGCCTTCTGGTAATTTTACCAATTTAAGGAATTTTAAGGAAATCTGAGGAATTTTCGAGCTTTTTCTAAGGAATTCGAAAATTTGATTGTGAGAGCACTGTAGGCATTGACCATAGATATAGGAGGCATTGACTGTAGGTCGCACTTGCAGGTGTTGTCATGCCGACCGATGATGGCGACGACATGTTTTGTGAGTGAACTCCATATATATTTTTGGTCACATTTTTGGTTCATGAAATACAAAATTTTCAGTGCAAAATGAGCGCTCAAGGCGAAGACGAAGAAGATACAGGACCTTCTGTTGATTCGTCAGATCATGAGGAGAGGATAGCAGCGAGAAGGCTTCGTATTCAACGAAGAATTGAGGCTGCAAAAAGGTTGGTAAATTTGTGACGTACGTTGCTATAATTTAACGTTGGTCTATTAACAGGCGAGCAAGTTTTCCTCGACAAATTTTATTTTCTCTTGTGTACTACGGCAAAACTTGACAATTTTTTCTTGCCAAGAAACCTTGTTAACACACTGTTAAGTTTTTTTGAGCGGGGGAAAGCCGAGCAACAAAGCTTGTCAAGGAAAAAGTGTTGACCGTACACACGAGAAAGTAAACTTGTCAAAGAAACTTACTCATCTGTACCGAGCTTTACATGAGTCTATCTATGTATGCTGTCTGTTGGAGGAAACTAGTTAATAGCTTGTAATAGTAAATTTTTGAACAAGAATATGAACAAAATAGACTGCCATTCCTTAGCTATTAGGAAAAGGTTGCAAAACATCTCAATTCATACTGTTTTCAATTGTCTTTGAATAGACACCAAGACAAATCCCACCATTTATATGCACAGAATACCAGAAAGTGGTGTCCACTCGACCACACTTCACCCAAGCACAAAATGGCAAAGGGGGCAAGGTCGTTAATGGTAGGGGGGGGGGCATTAATATTACCCTTGTCCTGTTCTTTGCATCTTTCGGTCACTTAACACAGGGAAACCTGATCCGGACACGAGATTCAAGGACAATAAATGCCATTTTCCACTTCAAGCAAAACATACCAACTTGTATCACAACAAACTTCAAAATTTAGTGAATGTTGATTGGTTAATACTTCTGTGATTATGCTTCAAAAGTTGACTGGAGACAAACTTTTTATTTTGATACACAAATCAACCAAAATTTGAAAATCCATCTTCAACCTGTACATGCTCACCGGTATGTTACCATACGATACGGTTAACTTGAAAATTAAACAGCCTTAAAGGGACCTGATTTTGTTTCTCCAGCTTTTCTGGGGGCCCTTTTGGCCACAAAGGATTTGACTGTGTGATTTGTTAAAGTGGAATATACAATTACTTTATGGTTTTCGTGTTTGGATGGCCTGATCCAAACATGCAGGAATGTTGCGAGAGTTAAGAAAAGCGCTTGAAATATGAGGCGAAGGTGAGTGATTTTTGTGTGCTTTTCTTAACTCAAGCAACATTCCCATAACAACTTTGCCTATTTAATTAAATTTCACTTTAAAAAACTTTAACTTTCTGTGTCTGGATGGCCTGATCCAAACACAGGTTTCGACCAATCAGAGCACACATTATATACTAGAAAATACATGCATGCAAAAACCCTCGCCTTACTGACAAAACATTCTGTTTTCTGAATATGAAGAATTGAAAGTAGTTGTCATGGTAACACGATAATTTTAAGAATAGTTTTGAAATTGAGAAATCCCCCCAAAATATCACTTTTAATAACAAAATTATCAATTTCCCAAACATGTATATGCTAGGTATGTTATTATACGTAATATAAGCTTCAATTTAATGTAAAATTCAACCACAAACGCTTCGCAAAACGTTTTAAAATGTTCTTAAAACTAATCGGCCTTCGAATTATCGGTAAACATTGAGTTTGAAATAAACTGATTTCAAATTCTCACATGAAAATAACTTTATTGTCTTTGCTTTCCTCTTTATTTAAATATTTTAATATACAAAAGAAAGGGTAATTAATAAAACTACACTGCAATTATATGCTGTCTTTTTTCACTTATACTGTATACACAATTTATGATAGTATCACTATATTAACTATCAGTTCGATATTTGCAGTATCGCCCACTACTATCAGTTACAAATATATCAATTATAAAACAAACAATACATCAATATTTAAAACTTACCTTCATTAACGTTGGCGACTTTGCTCTATTCTCTTAGATGTTTTTAGACGTTTTTTTTGCTCTCAGAATTCGAAAGGTTTTGAAATTTACAAAATCTTGCAAAAAAGCCAAAAATACAACTTGCAAGAAATGTTCGTTATTTCGCTATCGTCAATGCAGTCGTTATAATAAAAATTTCAATTTGACCAATCAGTATTCACTATTCACGACAGTCCGCTACATATTTTGAGATCAGTGAGGATGACCACCCATGAACGGTGAGCCATGCGCCCACAATATTTGCTGAACTTTAGACTTGGCTAGTGTGTTCCTTTCCCCGAGTGTAAATAGCCGGGCAGAATTAGTACCCTCGCACGGCGCTTCGCACCATCGGCTCGGGGACAATATGTCATGTTATTTTATAATGGTATTTCCATTTCACTTTTTAACTTATATTTTTGTGTCAAAAAGACAGAAAAGAATTGTACAGGAGAATTATGTATCCTTACAGTGAGAAAGCTGTGGATTGAGGGGGATTCCACTACTTGACAAATTACAAGTAAAATTTTGATGTTTTGAGCCAATTAGGCCCTAGCTTTGCTGAGAAGTAATAAAGGCCAGGGACATTGGAATGATAAAAAGGCAAAGGGGGGCAGACGCACACCAAAGGGCACCTCTATAGATGAAAAGTTCGAAATTTACCTGAAAATTTCTTTTTTACATTAAATTTTTTTTGGGCAACCTCCTCCCCCCTCCCCCTGTCGCCAAAAAAATTTTGGTCAGTGTACCATTTTAGGGGTCAAAAATTTTTTCAGGACATATCAAAAATTTTTGTGATGTAAAAATTTTTTTCCAGACATCAGCAATTTTCTCCATTTATCCGAAATTTTTTTCTAAAATCCAAAAATTTTCTAAAATATTTGTAAATTAACCTCATTCTTTTCCAAATTCACACTTATTTTTGTAAATTAACTTTCTCTGGGCCTATACATTACCTGAATCTCATGATTTTGCAGAAAAGGCATCACTGGAAATGTGATTTATCACTCAGGTAGTATTTTACAACTAAAAGGGCACTTCTGCCCCCCTTTCCCCCCCTAGCAAAAGGCAAGAGGGGCAGC